AAACCCCAATACGAAATTTCACATCTTCTTCTCAAGACTGTACAAAGAAAAGTTGTTAATTTCCTACCTTATCTCCATTAGAAGATGACAGAAAGTGGATAAATGTGCTGTGTAGTCCATAAGTAGTAGAACAGTGATTACATTGTTTAGGTTCTGTACTCAGAATTGGATTTGAAATGAGGTTTGAGTGCTGACCTTCAGCTTTTAGCTTTCAAGGGTGTTTGAGGGTGTTTACATCCATACTGGGTGAACTGTCCAGGAATCGTAAAATTACAGAATACAGCAGGACAATGATTATAAGTATACAGACAAGGCAACCCAACAGTTGAATATTGCTGACTGACCCAGTTAGTCACCTGACTTTAATCCAGCTGATTACATGTTTGACTTGCTGGAGAATAGACAGCAAAAAGCCTTGGAACAGACACAAAGAGAAGTTGGGCACAGTACAGATGTGGCAGAGATTCACATGGGATGAGTGTCAGCTGAGGTCTTGTGGGTTGTTATTGACTGCAAAGGATTGGACCCCAAATACCAATCTGATTATTTTATTTATATGTACTCATTATATTCAGCAACTATGTCAGAAGCTGCTTTACAATAATAGATAAAAGCGATAGACGTAGAGCCCAGACAGAACATAAGACTGAAAATATTAATAAATAAAATAAAACCAGCACAGAGCCAAAACAACAAAAATGTGTCACTGTCCTACTACTTACAGACGGCGCTGTTTGTACAGGTGTGTGCGCAAGTTTGACTTGAATTGTCAAGAGAGAAAAAGTGCTTCTCTGCCATGAAGAAAGTCAAACGTTTAAAGAATTCAACTTTTGTCAGCGTTTTCCACCATGCATGTGTGAAAGGTGGCAGCGCCTTTTTCGAACATCCAGCACAGTTTACTGTCATTCTCTTCCTGAAAACAATGAACATTGAGCTTTGTTATCAACAAAGTGAATGCATCTTAAAGCGTAATCAGACATGAATGAAAGAAGAAAAAAAAAAAACCTTAATGAAAACATTCAATCACGATAGAACTAAATTACCAAATCAGTACGATGAGTACTCGCCATAATACTCTGATGATTACTCTGCTTTATCAAATTTAATTAGATTATAAAGGCTTAGCTCCCAAATAGCTGTGGGTAAGTAAATCATGTGCCGTTTAGGGGCAGAGCTAAAGCCAAGCCAACTCTGTACTGTAGCCACAGAGACAAAATGCATTCAAACAAATTAATAGTCCATTAAATAAAAGCAAAACTCTGCCAGCTAATAGTGCCTTAAAAGCATATTAGCATTAGAACGGGATAGACACTCATTTGTCTGGGGAGAGTGTTTTTAGCAGTGAGAAACTCTGGGATGAGTTAGCAGCCTCGTGATTCTTTCTTTACATACATGTGACATCTGGTGGAGGTCTTTATCCATACAGTGCTGTGAGTGATGCTAACCCTGACATGATCAATTCTCTCTTTTCTCCCCCCTTTCTTTCCTTTTTCTACATTGTCACTGAAACTCATTCTTCTCATTTAAAAGGTACTGTATCTCCCTTGTATCAATTAATCTCACTCTCTTCCTCTGTTTGCCCTTCCGCTTTTCCACTCCCCCGCATCCCTGCATCCATCTTGTTCCTGCCCTCCCTCCCCCCCAGGCCCAGCCACCACTCTGGTATTCCCAAAGTCATCTGCAATCAGACATCTTCAATGGATTAATTACACTGTCCTCACACAGCTTGATTGAGCATCTAACATCTACACCCCACCTCCTCAGACCCCCGATGCTCTCTCCTCACCTCCACCCACTTACAGGACCTCGAATGCTTTCTTCTCACCCACTTTTCATCTCTCTTTCATGTTTCCTCTCCTTCCTCCTTCCCTTTGTTTTTTTCTCCTCTCCTCTACCTTCAACTCCAGACCCCACCTCAACCTCCTGTTCTCTAAAATGACCACAGCGGTCGTCCCCCTCTTCTCTGGGCTAGGGAGCCTCGCTAATTGGACATCGATTGGCAAGGCCCTCTCCATGATCTCTCCTGAATATCGGGATCACGCTAATTGAAGAATTAACTTAGGTGAGACGTGAACCTGGAAGAAGGGAAGACGGAGATAGCCAAAGACAGACAAAATGCTTCAGCTTAAAGAAATACAATAACGTACACAAGGGGGTGCATCCAGGCGCATTCACGGGCACTCACGTACAAAAAGACATGCAAGGAATCGGAGCTCCTTCAAAGACAAATGGGTATAGACATTTTGCCACATGGTAGGATTCACAAAAGGTTACATTGATCAGTATTATCTAACTTTAATCAGAGGAGCTCCCATTAACTTCCTTAACAAAACATGAAAAAAGAGCAGAGGGAAATTAAACAAACTTCTCCAGAGGAACAGTTTAACTAGCAGCACTATCTTTACTTATGTTTAGCACATAAACACACACAGTCTCTTTTTTACTCCTCCCTCCAACACACACATGCACTTCACATCAATCATGGGTCCCAGACCATAACCCCAAAAGCGGAGTGCTGCTTTGAGTCATTCTAAAATCATGATGGATGACAACTTCCCAAAGCAATCCCTCTGCGTGCCAGCATCATTTAACTAAAGGCATCAAGCTGCCCCAGCCAATACCACTCGTCCGTTTCCCCGTCCTGAGAGCGCTGGACAAACCCCTGACATGATTTTGAAAAAAATAAAAAATGAATAAAAATCCTCCTGTGGAGACATATGAAAGCTGCCACAGAAGAATGAGCTTGGCCCGAGTTTTTTGATCATGAGTCTATATTGTTTTCCTCCCCTTTCTTGAGCGGTATAGATGACGAGAGAGGAGATTGTGAGGAGGTTAAGCTGACCTCAGGCTCATTCTTTGGAGCAGGCTTACCCTGGAGTGTGAGATGACAAAACATTTAGCCCGATCTCACTTGCAGCTCACTGACAGGCTGAAACAAAAGAACAGCCTCGGAGGAATTTAAAATCATTGAATGAATGTCAATTAATTTCACAGGACGGAGTTGAATTGATTAGAATATAAAACAATCTTTCTTGAAAGCAAAAGGGAATTGATGTCCACGGCCTTCAAACAACGAGAGTGGGAAGACAGAAAAACGACAAAATGAAAGAAAGACGGCTGATTTTGTGTGTATGTACGTGTGCCTTGCAGTGTACGTGCCCAGGTGCTTGTGTGAGTGTGTTTGTGTGTGAGCTCAGCAGTTGTGTTGCACGCTTGGCTGGCGGGGTGTGTGTAAAGTAATTAACATGATAGCCTCCCTCTCAGCCTGATAGCCTGTTCCCTGCAGCGAGGTCGTTCAACAGACACCAACAGACACCTGAGCTGCGTCTCAGACACAACCCTGGAACGCATCTCTAATGCAAACGCACACATACAAACATGTTCAAACTACATATGCCTGGTACCAGCAAATACTGGGAACACACAGCTATCAGCAGAAATGACATGGTACATGTATACCTGTCAGCAGCATATTGGATGATAGCTGACAAACTGTTTATTCAGAATAAACTGACACTTATTAATTCATCTTGACATTAATGCAGGCAAAATGCATAATATATATTTGATATATATGGAAGCAAGAAATAGAGATAACTAGAAACTCACTGCCAACGCTGCACAAAATGCTCTAAATGTTTAATTTTAATAAGAGAAAATGCAAAGATGTTTCTTCTGAGCATTTGGATCTGACATTTTGATATATGTCTTTTCTTTAAAGCAGCTATAATCAATGTTTTTTTATGATAACAACGTATCTAATGACCAGTGAAAACAATATAACAACGTGAAAAAGTCGCTCATTGTGATGTACTTACAAAGAATAATCACCCGAATCGGCAGCTCCCCTCTGCTTTATGAAACATCATAGCAAGTTTCATGTCATTGTTTAGCTGTCCGACCCACAACTTTACTGTTTTGGTTTGCTCTCACCACTCTCATAGTGCTGTTTTCAATGACAGACCTCCAAAAACCCACTGTACTCTACCTGCTCAGCATCAAAACAGCAGAGAGACACAGTTAGCTATTTGATGGTCGCTAAAAAGCCAGATATTTCCCTCAGGAGTTGGTAGAGACCAAAAACAGAGCTAAAATAATGTGACTTACATTCACCAGGCGGACAGAAACAAGACTCCAAAGGAATGATAATGTTGCTCCGTGACTGCTGGATGTGTAAATAAGCATCTGTAGTGTTAAGTTCAACTTAAAAATGTTTTCACAACGTGTTTCCGCTGTTATTGCAGATTTAAATAATGTACATTTTTGGAGATTACCTACATACTGTATGAGAATATTGGGGCTTTGTACATGCATGAATTATGCTATATCAGACTTATGACCATGCAAGATGCGTTCAAGACTTATGGCAGTTTAATTAACGTAGGCCATGTCTACAAACATTTTTAATATTAATAACTTTTTTAGCATCATCCAAATATATTATGGTTTAGCCTGTATTGAAACATTTGTTTTGAACCAAGGAATAAAGGAATTTTGCTACGTGGTTCTGTAGTCATGAAAGCTAAAGTGGTTTTACTTTCTAAAAATTTTAATCTAATAGATTTTGGTCCTGCTAACTACATAACAAACATGGTAGAGGTAACGAGACATCCTATATGAGCACTGGCAGCCAACAGAATGCTGACAATATCCTTCCATTTCTTCCAATACAATGTATTGTTTCCCTCTTCTTCATCCCTCATAACCCTTAGACCTTCACTCTGGTCTTCTAATCCTAAAACTGTGGTTTGGTGAAGACCCCCAAACACCCCCTTTCACCCCCATACAGCCCTCATTTGCTGAAGGATTAGAGTGAGGGCACCGGGGTCAAAGTGAGGCCACCACCAGAGCGCCTAAAAAAGAAGAAATGCACACACACCCGGGACCAGGGAGCCACGAATACACAAGCAAGCACATACACATTAGCACTGCATTCACTCCGCACACATGGCACTGCTTTAAAGCACACACAGTCTAAGAAGCATTATGTATTCACATACTGTAGGTGCGTAGGCAGGACCCTCATCCCCAGACACGTACTGAAACAGAGACACAAATTTGCATGAGCATGTGCTGAACTAAATAAATTGACCTTAACTCTCTAAGTCAAAAAAACACTAATACATATTTGTGCGACTTTAAAAAACCAGGGTCAAATAACAACTTCAGAGAAAGGAGGGCTGTTGATATATCGTAGCAGCTTTAAGGCGGCATGAAGCACACCTTCGAAGTCTAAGTGAGAGAGAAAGACAGGAGGGAGAGTCAGCAAGAGAAGAAAAGTGATTGTCAGGGAGAGAAGAAACATCACTCTGAAAACTTCTAAAGAAGGCCCTGCTCTGGGTTTTAAATGCTCCCCTCCCTCTATCACTTGCTCTCTTCCCACTTTCCTCTCATCCCTTTCATGAATTAAAAGCACGACTGGTCTGTGGGGAGAAGCATAGTTAATTCCGATCAGATCTCCTCCTCCCCCCTTTCTAGCTAACCCCACCCTCCTCCTCTCCTCCCTGGGCGACGGTTGCCGTGCAGTCTGACAGACGGAGATGGGATCTGACAGTAAACAGGCGTGCGGATGCCCGGCGCGTGATTGACACGTAGGCAGGTCGGCGGGGGCCCGCCCCCCTCCTAATCCTGCCCTGTCAGCTCTAATTGGGGAGGTGGGGCTCTGTGTCACCAAGGTGACTGATTGACAGGACCTCAGCTTTGCATAGATATGAGGGAAAGGTGGGGAGGTTCACGCATGGCATAACACTGTTAACACTACTATACTGCTAATAGAGATATGTGTGTGTATGTGTGTATGTGTGTGTGCGTGTGTGTGTGTGTGTGTGTGTGTGTGTGTGTGTATGTGTGTGTGTGTTCATGCACATTCACAGACGCCCAGATGCAGGTGAACACACTCAAGAACATGGCTGAGCACACAAATAAACCCACAACAATAACCATGAACAAAATTGACATGCATACACAATGTGTGAACGCAGGGTGCATCTACAAACACACACACACACACACACACACACACACACACACACACACACAATGTCTTGACATGCTGTGATGAAGAGCAGAGGTTGTAAATGCTACAAGTGCTGAGATACGGGATGCAGGGAGGAGCCATTCAGAGGTCTTCACCATGTCGAGGCCAGTGAACAACATGGCAGGGGTTAGGCACTTTACTATAACGCTCCAACCCGTGGCCACGCAAACGTATGTGCTAATGTGTTAAATGAAAGACTATCTGTGCGTATATTTATGTGTATACATGTTGGGGTGATAACTTTTGGACAGTGGTTCTCATCTTGGGGGTCAGGACCCTTTGAGCTAAATGCTAACATCAGCATACTAACATGCTCACAGTGACAATTTTAACATGTTTACCAGGGTCTCCACCATTAGGGATGCACCGAATATTCGGCCACCGAAAAATTACTTTCATCACCGAAACAACACGGCCGAAACAGAAAGTTGTGATGACGCAAACAAAAAACGCGGCCAGCACACGCTTGTCTGGATAAGCACCAACATGTCTGCAGTGTGGACGTATTTCAATATATCTGAGAAAGACCCACGGATAGCGATTTGCAAAACGTGTAATGCTGAAATTTCAAGAGGGGGTGCATCTGCAAAGAGTTTCTCCACGTCGGGTTTAATTTATCACCTGAAATCCAAACATCATGATTGCCATTCTGAATATGAGAAGAATGTGGCACAGAAAAGGAAAATCAATCCGAGCACGCCCACTCCGTCTGTGGCGGACGTTTTTGAAAAGGCAAGAAAGTTTTCCAGTGATGGTGCCAAGGCAAAGGGCATTACCCAAGAAATTATGGAATTCATTGCCTTAGATGATCAGCCATTCTCTGTCGTAGAGGATGTGGGATTAATATTTTCAGACTTTTGTAATTGATTTATTCTTTGAATTGCAATGCCTTGATTTTAGTGAGGTTAGTACACAGTCATAGCCATAAATGCAATGGTACTAATAATTGGCAAAATAATTTCTTTCGGTGTTTCAGTTTTCGGTTTCGGCCAAGAATTTTAATTTCGGTGCATCCCTAGTCTCCATCTTACTCAAGCTTGCAAAAGCATGTTAACACTTGCTAATCAGCACCAAACACAACAAGTACACCTGAGGCTGATGGGAATGTCAGTTTTACACAAGCGGCAAGCTCCATGGCAGAAGTAACAAACACTGCAGTTCCTCGAATGGCTACTTGAGGCTGACTCTTCAGCTAAATTTCCCATTCATGACAACTGCACTGGGGTTCATTTTTATATAACTTGCCTGTTTAAACTATATTAAGGCTTAAAGTTATGCACAATGAATGGCATGGCTGCACTGAGTGACAGGTGTGTGCAGTAACAGGCGGCTGTTTTCAGTAACCAGGCTTCATTCAACCCACCTCAGCTCCACCTACGTCTTTGCCCATTTTTAGATTAGCCAGGAGCCGGCGGAGTCAAGACTACCAGAAACCTATGGCTGATGTCAAGGAGACTAGATCCATTTTTAATAATACAATCTATGGTTTTACAATTATTTTGTCATAAAATAAATTATTGGACAGATTAAAGTTTTGACCTAATGATATTGCTAGATGAAAGCACCAATCAAACAAATTTGGTGATCCCGCTGACTTTCATCTAGCAACATCATACTATGATTACATTTCATCCTGAGGGGAACATGAATGTCTGAACCAAATACAACGTCAATCCATCCGATAGTTGTTGAGACATTTCACTCAAAACCACAGATGCCAACCTCAAGGTATTGCTGGAGGAAAAGTCAGGGAATCACCAAAGTGTTTAATATTCATCCTCTGGACAGTTAAATAGTGAAAACTAATGCAGTGTAATACTCTGCAATGAATTATATTTTTATGAAGGGTTTAATCTTTTAGAGATGTGTTGATTCAACTTAACAATCATTTTGGAGGCTGCAGTTGGTGGTATTGTTGAATTGTACTGAGAGGTGATTATATTGTTCATCCCACGTGCTTTATAACAAACCAAGTCACTGGTCACCTATTTCTATCAAACAGGGTAAACTAAATAGAGACAACGCTGGAGTTTATGTAGGCTACCCGAAATTCTGTTCTTTTCTCTAATCTTTGCTTTTTTCTTATGAAATTCTGGACAGTTTTACATCCTTGAAAAAGGCCTTAAAGATTATTAAAGTGCAAAAATATGAGGAGAAAAAGTCACTCTGGTTAAGCTGCTCAAAATCTCATAGAGAAACTATGATGAGGGGGTGTGCTTTACCACTACCTGCTTCATTAGAAGAGGTTATAAACCAAAAAGGTTGGGAGCCACTTGCTGTAAGACACCTTCAAAGTATGTGCTCCGAAGCATCTGAATTTGTATGGCTAATTATAAACTGTTAATTTTAATACAAAATAGCTCATATCTTTGTGTATGAATGTATGTTAGTGTGTGTGTGAGTGCATGTGTGCACGTACATGTAAATGTGCATGTGTGTGTTTTGATTGACAGCTGCCACTGACCTGTGCCAGTCAGAGTGCCATGCTGCGGGGCGGTGGGGTCGATCGCTACGGAGACGACCTTCGCCCTCATCTGCATCCTGCCTTCATTAGCAGAGCCAGGCAAGGAGAATAACAACCCAATAAATTAATAAAGAGAAAGAGGGAGAGAGGAGAGAGGAGGGGAAGGAGGGAGGGAGCGGACAAGAGGAGAGCAGGCAGAGCAAGGATAAAATGGGAAGAGAGAGTGAGGGAAGGATGGAAGCAGGCGCGAGGAAAGGGCAGGGAAGGAGAGGAACGAGAGGAAAGAGCGACGCACTGAAGTATAGAGAGCTGAGAGCGAGGAGATGGAGGGAAAAGCTGAAAAAATAGAGCGTGTATATGTACGTGTGAAGGCTAAGGGTGTGCGGTCAGCGCTCAGGTAGAAAAAAGCTAATGAATGAGAAGTATAGAGAGGCTGAAGAAGATGGCCAGAGAGAGTTAAAGGTATATAAATACTGAATTTATCCCAAGCCCATAAAATTCAAATGCAGATAAAAGATGCATCTGCAGTCAACCAAAATTTGTAAATTTACCCAAGAAGGTCTGGAAACAGATTTTGCCAAAAATATCTCTAGGGCTGATTTAGAAATGTGGCTCCGAGCCCTGTTTAAACAGAGTATTGATACATTACCATCTGTACTGGCTCTTAAATGCCAGTATAGACAGTGATGCTCTAACTGGTCCACAGAGCAGCATTTTCACAGGGCCAAATGTTCCAGACCCCCCCCCTTTCATTCATGATTGGGATGAACTTAGCATGCCAACCACATAGCAAACATGTTAATAAAGTATGAGGTTTAATCATCTACTATTGTACATAGCCTTGTTGGTCTTGTTCACAAGCAGACAGAGATCGAGGAAAATACTTCTTGAATACCTCCACACTTGCAGTAAAACACACAACAGAGTCCGGGGGAAGCTTGGGCGTAAATAAATTATGAACAAGTATGTTACGCGGGATAGACTGTTGGTTGGGAGCTTTCCCAGGAGGACTCTAGTAATAATGCTTTCTCATCTTCCAGCAGAGTTGTATAGCATACACCACGTTCCATTACTCCATCTTCATCAGCATTATGGATGGAAATATAGCCTATTCTTACGCCATTGTTTTCAACAATTAACAATTATCTAGTGTTCTACATGAGACAGCACTGGTTTTGTCAGGTGTAACCCCCACTGCCCTATCAGAGGAGCTTAAATACCCCTTCACTGATACCACTAGTCTGTACTGAGTTTAAAGTGAATGTTAAAGTGGATATTCTTACAATATTTTTTCATGCAACTTAACTGTCAATGTTAAGGCCACTTTGGTCAAGTTTGCATACTATTACCACCTGGAGTGGCAGAAGCTGGACATTTCAACTATTTACTTATAGCTTACTATTTCCACCATTACTTTTTTAACAATTGATCCATTACTTCTAGAAAACTATTTCAGGCAGGGGAGCTCCCCTGAAAGAGACACGACCTCCCCAGAAAGCCTTGTTTAAGAAATTCAGTGGGAGCTCTAAAATATCCCAATTTGGCACCACTGGTTTTGTCTACATATTCTCCTGTATATATGTGTCTAATAAAACATTGCTGTCCATCCCTGCTGTGGCCATCCATGCGCAGGGGCACAGTCAACACACGTTACGCACCATACATCTTTCTCATTGTTTCTCAGAGGAGAGCAATTAACAAAACATTACAATGGTAAATAGTTTTTCTGTTTCTTCTCTGTATGAACTGAAATGTATTTATAGTATATTTTTGCAGGTAGGCGGGCGCATTCATGTATGCATTGTGTGACGTGTACAGTAGTGAAAAGGCTCAAAGCTACCTTGTGATTCAAACCCTGATTTCATTACTTTTAGCTATTTATTCTAATAAATTAACAATTACTCCTAACTAATTTATCCAGACTTTTCCTTTCCTGTCACTCTTCCAACCTGCTTGTCATCCTCTCTCTCTCTCTCCCCGACTTTCCTGTCACTCTTCAGCTGCTACTATCCAATAAAGGCAATAAAAAAGCAACTGCAACCTTTCCTGGGCTACAAAGACCTCTCGTTTGTAGAGAAATACAATGGCAAAGAGATCTAGACCAGTTTTCTGACTGCAACTTGTGCTAGAGAAAAAGACTGTATAGATAGCTCAGCTTGAAACATTGAGAGATGTTCATCGAACCGATCACTGACCAAGTCTAACTGAATCTGGGGAGACAACAACACCAACACTCTCAGGAGTGTCGTGCCGCCTGCTATAACCACCTAATAACACACATCACATCAGCAAGACCCATCTGTTGAGAAGACACAGGTAATGTTCCTGCCCCTGTTTTCTCTGCCTGTCTAACTGAGAAGTGCTGGCTGTTCAGGGTCGAGGAGTGTGAGCGCCAGGGAGCGGGGCCTGCTGTGCTGGGGAGGAAATTCTCAGGGCGATCGATGCAGAGGATTAGGGCCGGCTTTGGGGCTCAGAGGCCTGGATCTGAGCAGTATTCTCAGTGGGGCCCCTGGGAGAGCTGGAGAGGAAAGCTAGAGTAGAGAGAAGAGGAGGGCCAGGGGAGAGAGGAGAGAAGGCTAACCTGGAACTGTCAGGAGGCTGAGAGCGGGTTGGCCAGGTTGGGAATAGAAGGGCAGTCATGGTCCCACTTGACATTATGAATGGTGCTGAAACTCTGCCACCCACTCAGATAAACACACACTGGCCAGTCTGATTGGATGAGCTAGATAAAAAAAGAGGAGGGAAGAGGAGATTTAATGTAACAAGAGAGCGAAAAGAGATAACACACATGAAGTTGGTTATTTTCTCTCCTTACACTCCATCTTTTAATTTTCTTCAGGCCAAATCGGTAGTTGTCTTCTAACTTGATGAGTGCAGCACACAACAAAAGGCTTCCTCCGTCTGTGTGTCTGCCTCTGATGCTCATGATTGGTCAGCCCATTCGCCAGCTCGCCGCTCTCCCCCGGGTACAAACGGTTGGATCCATGATTCATTTTGCAATGAGGAAGGAAAAAAAAGAAGGAGAGAGCGCATGTGAGAGAAGAAACAGCCAAGACCACTGGGAAATTATACGGCGGAGCGGTGTGGTGGATCTGGAATTAAACGGCATAATTAATCAAGCAAAAAAACAAGCACGTTGCTCATACATTTATTATTTGCATGTTTTCCACTTCAGGAGATGTAATCAGCAGATATACGTTGGGGCCCCTGATCCGTGTCACAGGGACCTGGAGGCCGAGAGCCTATTTCGACCACTGACCCTAAAAGTGTAAAGTGGGATCAGTTCTGCTCAATGCTTTATTTTTTTTCTCACTGACTATCTTCCCCACACAATGCCCTCTGCCTCTGAAGTAATCTCCACAACAAGCAGAACAAGTCCCACAGAATCATGTTGTCTCCCTGTCCTTTAAATTAGGGTGTCTGCAAAATTGGGTTCACAACTCCTCGCTCTCTGCGGAGTTGTTCTGCATTATGCAGTGTGTGCACTTGACCCGATGAGGGAAAAACTAGCCACTTTTAGAAAGACAGCGTGGAAATATCACAGCAATATGATCACACAGCAGTAAGGAGCTGACAAAACCATGTAAACACCTCACAGAGTAACCTTAAAAATAAGGAAATCACCATTGCAAACACGGCTACAAAAGGTCAAATTAGGTTGCATGCTAATTAGCAGCACTTGCTATACCCCTGCACACTACTATATGTCCATCATACTATATCCTTATAACAGCTGTTCCTCTTTTGAGTCGTCCACGCTTAATAATTTTCTTTAATGACGCACCTGCAAGTTGGGCACAGATGATTTGGCTTATTTGAAGCTAGTAAGCAGTCTCATGTTGCTTTGGAAGCTCATTCATCAAAGTACTGATTGCCAGGTCTCTTTTGTACAGTCTTGTTTTGTAATTGGCAACCTAATATGAGTGTCTTTAATGTTTTAATGATGATTTGGTTACTTAAAGGTATTTCCTTCCCATGTGGTGTTTGCATGATTCTGCCTGCCCTTGTGGGCTCTGATATTTTCCAGGTAGCTTTACAAAGAGTTCATAATCCAATACATTTAGGAAGCACAAAGTTGTAACCCTTTAAAGCCCTTTAAACCCCACCACGACCCTTTGTGCCATGCTATGATGTCTACAATATGAGCAGTAAACCACAGGGTTATGTTTCCCCTTCAGAGTCTTTTAAAAGTGTTCGGTCTCCTGAAAGATGACAAAACTCTCCAGCAAAATAAAAAAGGCAAGATTTTTGAAAATACTGTAAAAAATTAACATAATTTTGTGTCTACGTGTGTGTAATTTTTCCTACCTTGTTGATCCTCTCACAACCCCTCAGATTTATACACCTGGAAGGCTTCCGTCCATCGAGGTCTGCAACAACTGACCTTAAGGACAAGGAGTCTTTTCACATGAGACATTTCAATAAATCCTGTAGAAAGTTTGCACATACAGTACATTACATTTATGCACACTATATAGCTTGTTTTGATATATTATTATCACCATTTTGTGGTGCCATAACATTACATTTTTCCTCCTGGTGATCAATGCAGTTTCATCTACTTATATCGCAATAAGGGCTGCTAAAAAAAAAAAAGTCCATAATCTCCCATCTGTGCTGCAGTCACACTACATTTCAAGCGGGTATTAACAGAAATAATATCTACATCGGTTATGCTGGTAGTAAGAGTATAACGGGTTGTTGTTATTGTAGAAATATTGATGTGATCCTGCCCCACCCCCCAGGATACAGAGCAATAACTCCATCTTTCACCTCCATCTCCCGAGCATCCACCACATGTATCTAACCCTCATTATGGCCATTATGCATAAATACATCCGCCAAACACATTGAAACGTATCACTTTCCAGCTGGTCAATACGGCTTGTTCCTGGAGCGCCGTCATCAATCGAGGTATCAATATGGAAACACCACTGTGACCCAGACATTAATCAATGGGTTCCTCGGGGGAGGAGAGAGAGAGGGGGGGGGGAGGGCAGGGGCACCTAAAATCATCAATGAGACGGATCGGCCCGCAGTCAGGCTCGGACAGTCCGTATTGATAAGAGCATTTCCACCTGTAGCGGCCGGAGCGGAGAGACAGGCCCGCATCTGAATTCAATACCCGCCGCCGCAGCTGCGAGCTCGAAGCCCAGAAAGACACGGTTGAGCGGAGATACGTGCCTCGACTCATCATAAGACCAGTCTCTCTTTTTTTTTTTTTTCTTTTCCTTCTCCTTCCTCCTCCATATAGGTCCCCCTCCTCCTTTCTGTCTACCTCAGAACTTTTTTTTTGGTCATGCCTCGCACTAAAGAAGCACATCACGCCTCTAATACAGAGCAACAATGACTTCAAATTAAGTTCTTTGTCTTTATTCCGCGGCTTATACTTTTCCCCGAGCATCCTTCCTCCCTCCTTCTCTCCCTCCTCCTCCTCCTCCATCCCTCCCTCCCTCCCTCCCTGCACAATCTCTGGAGTTTAGTCAAACCTATTTCCTCCTCCAACTTCAAACTGTGAGAGGGGGAAGTGGGGCTCGACATCAGTGAGAAAAGTCTTCAGATGCTCGTCTCAGGCATTCATCTCACTGTGAGCGCTGGATTAAAACGTCGTCTCGCTGCTGACATCCAAACCTTGACCCGATCAATTATGTCCATGCTCTGCGTTTTTGCCTCCTTTACCCGGATACAGCAGAGCGATGGTCGATGAGTAGTGTGGGACAAGGCAGCCTCCTAGCGGTGCGTTCCTGTATGCACAAGGAAAAGCAAGAAAATGCCCTGTGTGCAGAAACATTTTTTTTAATTAAAGAAAGAAGATAATAGATTGTTGTGATTCAGTTAAATGACTTGATGGGCACAATGGAGATGCAATAGCTGTTATTCATTTTGCAATTAGAGCGAATTCCCCTCGTGCTTGTGGCTAATCCTGGCATTCCTGACAACCCTGTCTCTATCCCCACGCTGGCCAGCCGAGCAATGTTGACGATCCCCGTATTTGACTTCCAATCAAATCCCACATCGCTCTCTCCCTCATGACACTTCTTAAAGGTTAGAGTTCAAGGGTCGTGTGTCCTGTGTGCACACGGGCCTGCCCTTTTCATTCCCAATCAGCCGCTCTCTCTCTTTCTTTTTTTCTTCCTGTGCCAGAATGGAGAGATGCACCACAAAGGTCATGGACATGGATTTCCTTTTGGTTTGACTCTATGAAAAGGTCAGACGAGGGCACCATGAAATGGCAGTGAGGCCTTCACATCGCCCTCACAGGGACCAGAGTCCTTACATCACCCTGAAATGGCACCGGCTGAGCCCTTCTGGGGCCTGCTCTCACCAGAACCAGGAGGGTCCCGGGGGCCCCTGTGACCTCGACTGGTCCTCCTGTGGCTTTAGTGTCCCTTCAACAGTGTGCCGAGAGAAAAGAGCAATAAACTGTGGTGCAATGATTATCATATGTTGTGTGAAAAAAAACTTTTTAGAAATGAATGTCTTCCTATTCAAATGATAATGAAAAGCACTCTTTCTGCACTTTTCTTGTACAGTATGTGTTAAAGTGTGTGTGTGTGTGTGTGTGCGCGCAGAGCCTGTCTTTCTAAAAATAGATCAGGGTTGATGTGTACTTTGCTCCTACACCCAAAAACTGCACCTAGGGCGGCTGTATCTCTGCTGGTAGAGCTGATTGGTCATTAATCGTAAAAATTGGTAAGGATCCCAGTTTCAGCCCGTCCACGTGTCAAAGTGTCCTTGAGCAAGATGCAGAGACCCCGAAACTTTAAAGATACATCTGCAAAATGAATATAATGTCTCTTTTCAGGTGACTCTTCAAAGATACGATCAAAAACCTTCCTGTGGCCTCTGTGGCAGGGACGGATTTCTTAAGTTAGTTTGTGAAGCCAATTGATTTGCAAAACTCAAAAAGCCACTGAATACCATATAATAACTTTTTCACATAACAATAATTCAACAACTATACTGCTTTAACAGTTTTCTGTCTACTTTTCCCATAGATAAAAAGATGACTAACATCCTAATTAACAGGAAAGGAATGAAGACCATTTCCTCAAATCTGTATTTTTAGTGAATCACCAGATGAAGTCACATCTTGAAGCCTCTAAAATTTAGAAAATGTAAACAAAAAAAGAAAAATATTCTCCCTTTGCAAGTGGTCATCTCTTCTTTCGTCGTTCCTAACGTGCCCTGATTGCACTCCTCTGATTTTACAGATTGAGGTTTTTGTAAATTTGGACAGGTCTTGCCTCATAGGAAAAGGGATCAGAGCTTTCATATGATGCTGATAATTTGTTCGACATTCACAGTAGCTTGACGACATCAAATAAATCTTCAATCAAGGGCCACTTTTCCAGGGCTTTGTTGAGGTTAATTAAAAGTTAGAAATTGATTAAGAACTCATTACACTTGATGCAAACTGTGTCCCGGGACATTCACCTTTCTCCTCCGACTTGATCAGGATAATCTGTTCCACGTGCCACTAATTACTCACAAGTAATGAAGAGACAAGAAGCAGACGTTTTACAAGATTTGATTTATTAACTATGATACAGATCACATAAGGCCTTGCTGTATACACCATTCCCATTGAGACAAATTACCATACTCAGCAAATAATGACAGTTTTTTTGTTTGATGTTATCTTTTCACTTTACAGTACTTCATTTATTTTTTTATTTTTTATTTCCCCCCCATTATTTCTTAATATTTTTTTTTATCATCTCTTAAATAGCGAGAGTGGTGGAGCCCTCTTCCTTGGTTGGGAAGAAATCATGCACTATACTGGGCTGGTCTCTTAATCGTTCACAAAGAAATTGTTAAAAAAAAATGCTTTGTATTTTTTAATTATTAAAATAAAACATAAAAAGAAACTTTTTTTTTTCTATCACCACTGACTAAAGGGCAAAGTGTTAGACCCCCTAACATACCAATAAACAACCATTTGAATATAGTTTTGCTTGTTTCTCATTTAACTTAACAGACATCTGTCACCATTGTTGCAAAAAAAAGAAAAAAACAGAAAAAAAGAAAAAGAAAAGCAATGCAGCCACATTTTCGCTGAACCAAAGTCACATTTTTAATTCAATTGTTCTTCTAAACTGTCACTTTGCTTCCTGTCTCTCCCTCGACCCTTTTTTCCACAGTCTTTGGCTGCCTCACAGTCAGTTCAGTATTAACACATTGATATACACAGGGAACGCCACTGGCCGGCGTTCACACACAAGTACCAGTGGTCACCCCTCCTTCCTCCCTCCATCTCCCAAATAATGATACCATTCACCCGTTTGCTGTCTCTCTCACTCTCCCCAATCTCTCCCCCATCTCTCTCTCACACTTTCTCTGAGGATCAGTGTGTGTAATCTGGACGAGCTAACAGGGTTACACAGCGGGGTAATGACCGCAAGGAGATCTGCATTCCTCTCCTTCACGTTTGTTTGGATCACGCTGGTGTCTGGCCGTCTGCCAAGCACAGCTTGCTAGCATGTTAGCTCAAACCTACCCACCCAAACACACACACACACACACACACACACACACACACGGTAAATAGGTAGTGTAGACTGATAAAAGCTCATCTAAGAGTTCAGTGATTGGTTAAAAGGTTTTTTCCCCCCCTTTTGGGCAGAGAGGACAATCTGGGGAGACATGCAGAGATGCAATTCAGTGTCAAACAGAATAAGTGACCTTGGTGAGCATCTGCTTAACATTAACACGCATAAGTTCACATGCGCACACTCTTTGTCAAGCTCACACAAACACAAGAGACATATACGTGCACACACACACACACACACACACTTCAAAAAGCTGCTTCGATCAGTGCTCAGCAGTTCTCCACGAGCCCCATCTCGCTGGTTTCTACGGTAACAGCAGGCTGGGCCGAGGAATTCTGTGATGCTCCATTCCAGTCATGCAGACGGATGAATGGACTGTCTGTTCGGTCTGCTGTCTCTCCCAGACCCAACTGTCTCTCTTGGACAGGGAATGACTAGGGGATGTGGTGGCATAACAGTGACAGCGGGGGGAGTCTGATGTAGTGGTTACACTCATGCAAATCATATTTCGAGTCCACCAAAAGCTGGTTTGAGTGTCCTTTCCAGAGGCATAAAGCTGTGTCCTAAGAGGACAGCATGCCAGGGCCTGGAGCGAGGGTTACCAATTACTTCCGATGATAAAAAGCCTCCCACCTGTCAAAGCTTGAGCCTCGCTTCCAGCTCTTACTTTCTGGCCTCTAATGCTACATTGTGCCTCAATCTCCTAAATCTTAATTTCCTTCCACTCAAATATGGTGTCTGGGAAGAGGCATGCACTCCTCTACAAAAGGGCTGAGTGCTTTGGTGAAGTGGAAACTAACAACAAAAGAGAGGCAATTTTATTCACTGCATGTCTAATCAACTGCAATGTAGCCACATCATTTGTGGCTACAGAGTCTGTATCTATATAATCACAATTGATTTGTACCAGATTTAAAAACAGCTATTGTTCTTTTATCTACACTCTTAGACTTCATGAGCTCGAAAGTGAATTTTACCTGACACACAAAGAATAAAAAATCCCAACAATTGCACCTATAAGAGAATCTGATGCTACAAAAACCACAGTAGGAAAATGGTGCTACGCCCATGCAGTAGCAGCGGTGAGGTTATGGCTGCAATACCCATTAATTCCTCTAGATGTCAGTGGTGTGCTCCCAGAGAGAGAGAGAGAGAGAGAGAGAGAGAGAGAGAGAGAGAGAGAGAGAGAGAGAGAGAGAGAGAGAGAGAGAGAGAGAGAGAGAGAGGGTAGGGTGTATGACAAAGTGAATGGTGGCTGTCATGTCATGGCAGCTCCAATTTAAAATGTGCCTTCAAAGTGCTCAGGAAAGTGCTTTTTGAACAAGGTCCTTACTGTGAAAACTGCAGAACTGACTCGCTTGTAAAACCACCACAGTGTGAAAGAAGCAACATGACAGGTGAAGGTCCAACCCTGGAATTATTCCCACTATCTGCCTAATACAGGGAAATTCAGGTAAAATGAAGAGGCATGGATACATGCGCACACGGACAGATAGACAGTCACACAGACACTTACACGCCACTCATTGAGCGATAGGGCCCGGGTTTCTCTGTTTCCCAAGATTTTGTAACATGACGAACAGAATAAAAAATGCATTAGGACAGTGGGAATGTGAATGTAGAATCAAGATTTGGACCAATTCAAATAATCCACTTTTTAAGCTGTTTTCTTCATGTGTTTACAAAGAGAGGGCATGAGGTCGAAGTTCAAAGAGAGAGAGAGAGAGAGAGAGAGAGAGAGAGAGAGAGAGAGAGAGAGAGAGAGAGAGAGAGAGAGAACAAACAGGAGACTGGGTAGAGCCTTCCCAGAATGCCACGGGTGTGAGAGCCCCCATAATCCTTTGCTCCGATTTGCTGCCGATCCGGTTGGTTGAGACTTTTATTATTTTTTTTTTTTCTGTGCTTGGCATACTGCCTCGACTGAAACTTGTCAACTGAATTTGTCTGCGTGTGTGGGGTTGACAGATAGGAATGTTGCAGAGGACAGAACATCCTGTCGGGTGAGTAATAACACGTGTTTCTTGCTTAAGTCCTCTGTACAGTGGTGAAATAAACATCTGTTCAGGACTCATTTACTGCTCCACTTTGCCCCAGCCGTGGCCTCCAGGGGGGTACAGAAGGTGGGCCGGGTTTGCAAAAGAAAAACGTGCGCCAGCCACCAAAATTCCCAGCACAGTAATAGGCTAAGGGATTGAGGAGGATGGTTGTTGGAGGCACACTGGCCACTGGTTGTTTGTGTAAAGTATGCGTCTGTTTGTGTGTGTGTGGTGAAGCAATCCCATACATAACAGAGTTCACATTCCCCCCCCCGTACTTTACTTCGGAGTCCCTCCCTGAGTCCCTTTCACAGTTACTGGCAACATCTCACTCTTCATTAGTTTGTTTGTGTGTAGGATCTCTATAAGGCAAGGAGGGCAGGTCTAGGTGAAGTGAGACTGAGAGACAAAGGGATAAAGTAGCGAGGAGGGAGATAGATCATACTGCCAGTTCAGAGGCTCTTCCGTGTTCCCCTTTTCTGCCTTGTGTGTGTCCATTTTTCTAAAACGGAGGCTCAAACACCCCCTTCTCCCAAACATGTAGGTTTCTCCCTGTACATACTGCATCTCACTCAACTCTCCCAACTTCTCTTCCTACCTCCTGTTCTCAATTTATCTTCTTTAATTCCTTCCCAAACTTCAAAATCTCTTATTCTGAACCCATAAATCTCTCTGAATCTTGTTATCCGTCCTCTTCATTTATTTTTTTTCCTCTTTCCCTTGATCCCTGGTTCACAGCGTGTGTTGTTCCGTAGGAGGGTGATGGGGGTGCAGGGAGGGCGGCAGTAGGGCCGGGATCGGGGACTGGGGGGTAGGAGGTGGGGAGTGAGGTGGGGACTGATGTTGGTGGTGATGGTGTTGTTGGTGGTGGTGGTGGTGGTGGTGGTGGTGGATAGGAGGGCCGTAGTGTGGAATGACAGGAGGGGTGGCGGGGAGGACGTAGGGAGTTGGGGACGGAGTCGGTGAGGATGAGTAGCCACCAGCCATGCAGGAGTAGGCAGAGGTTCCTCCACCGAAGGAGAGCGTAGAGGTGGGGGAGCCAGGGAGGCCGTCGGCCAGTGGCTGATTGTAGAAGAAGTATGCGCACTGGTGGATGAAGCTCTCGATGATTGTCTGGTAGGTTCGAGTGGCGGTCAGAGCGTCCATGGTGGTGAAGTCTGGTCTCATCAGTGTGGGCCAGAAACAGATGGACAGGTTCTCACTGGTCATCAGGTTCAACTTGTTGTTCTGGCTCACCCTGAGAAACACAAACAAACAAACAAAAAACAGAAAATTTACAAAAAGGATGCTTCAAATGATCTGCTGCTGATCGTGTCCTCTAAATCTCCTGATCACATAAGCTGTTGCAATTATGTAAGCCAAATTATTACAAAGGTTTTTGCCCCTAATATGGCATAAAATAGGCTACTGAAACAGCAGGGGTCTCTTAGTTCCACAATGGTCCAAGAGAAGAATCAACTCACTGTTTACTGCAAATAACAATTATTTTATTACTGATTAATCTGCTAATAAATTCCTTGGTGATGAAGAGTCCTTGGTGATACAAAGCAGAGAAGGGCAGAAAATCCTCAGACTGGAGAAAGCGGAACCAGAAAATGTTTAGCATTTTTACTTAGAAAATTACTTTAACGATTGATCAATTATCAAAATAGCTGCAGATTAACTTCCTGGCAGTCAAGCAACCGAATAGTCAACCAGTTGTTGCAGTTCTAAAACTTTGCATTTTTAAATAATATAACAAAAAAATCCTACAGCCATGCTAGCGGTACAAGCTCAATGCTAATGCTAACATGCTTACAATGTTAGCACATTGATGTGTAGGTGTATTCACCATATTTATCGTCTTAATTGAGGATGTTACCATGTTAACATTAGCTAATTCACACTTCAGACAGAGTACAGCTTCATCCTCTGAAAGTTTGTGCAATATTTTATGTCAATCCATCTAATAGTAATTGAGATAACTTCAGTCTGCACCAAAGTTGGACTGACAATGTCTGTAGTGTAGAATGTGAATTGTGCGCAAATCAAATTAGTGATCCTTCTTAGACTGTTTCATTTGAAGGAGGTTGAAGGGATTTTTTTGCCAAAAAAGGTAGACAAAAAGCTAAATTTTGTATGAAAGTTCTCTTATTGTTTTAATCATCTTTAATCAACTTTTATCTTGGGACCTCTTGGGGCTCCGGATTGATAACCACCATCTATAATATGGTTTAAATTATACAAGGTTTTCCTGGCCTTTTTGGAGCACTGTAATCAATTTGTCATACCTAAGCTGACATACATAATTACAATCCACATACAAATGGATAATAAATCACTGCGTTAACACAGATCATGACTCAGCCGAGTAAAACCTCTATTTTTTCAGTGTGCTTGTTTCGGTGATGTCACCACAGGGTCACTTGACTGGGTGACCGACGGTGTAGTCAGCACAGCTGTCAGAGGCCGTATCTGACCCCGTCACTCACTCACTTGTTCAAGTGGCTGATGACATATTTGAAGACCTCGTAATTCTCCTTGGGGAAGCGGCGCAGAATGTCCTTCATCGTCTGGAAGCGCTGGTCCCTATCGTTGATCTCTGAATGGTGGCAGAGAGAGACGAGGAGGTTAGAGGAGAGAGAAGACTGGATGAAAGAAAAAGATTAGGGGAATCTGAAGAAAAGATGTCAGGGAAGTGAGAGTACAGAGAGATGAGGAGAGCTGGTGTGTGTGTGTGGGGCGGGGTACAATAGAGAAGAGGAGAGTTTGAAGAGCATAGTGAAAGCAATTGGATTCAGCTCTCAAAATATCAGTACAGGACACAGTGATTTCAACAGTGCGAGTTTCACACATCCCCAGTGACAAAACACGCACGAACACACGCCATTCGAAAACGACTCCAAACTACAGTTCTCCGAAGAAAAAGAAAAAATCACCAGACAAAGACCACACACATTCCAGGGGAGAAACATACACCCATCACAATGTCCTACAGACTGCAGCAACTGACACACAAACACACACACATACACTGGGTGTGTTAAGCCTGATGGCAGCGAGGAGTGAGTCAGAAAAACTGACGTCACCAGCTAACACAGTCCATCCTGTGTGAATGTGAGCGAGGCAGAGAGCAGCAGTGAGAACAGCAGATGTTCTCCTCCACATCACAAACCTGATTTACAATCCGAGATTTTGAGTTTGTATTCCCACCACAATGAGGTCAGTATGGATCAAAAACAGATTTGAGGGGTAATGACTTCACACAGCCCCAGTTCCTCCTGCTGTACATCCATCATTGGTAATCAAAACTTAACTTCCTACAGCTTATTTAAAACGTCACCATGACAATATCCACTAAAATGTACCCACCCAGTTTTTTCTACGTCTCCCTTTTTCTCTACCTCAGTAAAAAAAAAAAAAAAAGCTCAAAATCTGAAAATGTTGACCACAATTTGCTGCTTTCAAGAGAATGAAAGCTTTCTCATCTCTAACTCCACCTCACTTTTCTTTGTCACTTTCTCTTCTTTTTCCTCTATTGTGGCACAGACTGCAGGAGCTTTATCAGGTCTCTGTCACGGCTGAAGGGTCTCGCTGGGGCCGTTAAAAACACACACACACGCGCGTCTTGGTGAGTGACAGCAGACTTGCGGCCAGGGGGTAAATCTCTCTGGCGCTATGCAAGACTAAGCTACGCCTTAAATCTCCATTCCGACAGATTACAAGACACAAAGAGAAAAAGAGAGGCAGGAAAACACTTATTTATCTAACATATGACTCATGACTTCATCCAGGCCCTGTTATCCATGGCGCTCCTGCATCCCTCCATCATGTGCAATCATCCCCACATCCTCCTTCCTGAAGCCTTAAATATTCTCTCCTCCATCCCTGTTTTCCACCATTCTTGGCTCCTCACCGAATGGCAAATCCAATTCTCCCCATGGATGGATTTGGATTGCAAGAGTTTTGCTTGTTAGGTCAAAGAAAAGTTACAATGAAGGCAAAAGGATTTAAGGCAAAATCCAATACACCTCGGATTTTTACAAAGAACTCTCTCCCAATTTTTTACCCGTGTCCCCTCACAGAGCCCCAGGACTTACTGAAGGCCTCCACCAGCTCTCCCTGCATGCTGTAGGGCACCAGAGGCTCAGGTAGCTCAGAGAAGAAGGCTTTCATGGCTCCGGCTACTGTGTTGATGGTGAAGTCTTTCTCCACCAGGTCCAGGTTGTGGTCTGGAATAAATGAAATGGAAAGAACACACATCATATATACGTATCACAATTTTACATGCATACAGTAAATAAGAGAGGTGGGGAAAATAAACACCTTATAAAACACCTATAAAACAACAGTCATGTAAAAAATAAAAATAGGTAAAGCTCACTTTGGGAATGTTGACACAACCAGACTTGGCTAGTTTTTATAAAAAGGTATACCTAGGAAGTTTAGGGTAGACAATGCCATCAGCATAACATAAAGGTTAACAAAAACTTGCAAAGACATTTAAAAACAGTTCTCCCTTTTTGTAAAAGTACCTTTGTGTACAGTGAAAGGCACCCCATGAAGCTGATTTACTGTTATTGTTATTAACATAATAGTGATATAACTGAATAAAAACTGCTTGTTCAACAACACAGCAGGGTGACTTGAGAAATCAATGTTATATCCGGTTACGGTTTTCCCAAAACTGCCTTAATATCACAATATATAGAGTAACTACAATGTAAAATGCCACTTGCAGTGTTGTGGTGTTTTGTTTATGGTTGCTTTGGATTGTGCACAGACAAGCCTGTACAAACAGGTCTGTCCTTGACTTCTCAATTCATCATTTAAAAAAGGTGCAATGTGTAAGAATTGAGACTACTCGCCACCTGTCGAATCCATACTCTCATAAAAAACAAGGGGAACATATCAGGTCATAGCTGCTGCCAACTGCCATTAACTAGTTAAGTCAGTTAGCTGTGCAGCTAACTTAGCAGTCCTAGCACAGCAAACACGGACAGGCCAGGACCAACAGAGGCCAGTTTAATGACAGGAAATACAGTACAGAGGTGATTTACAGTGGCTCTGACCAGGACTATGAGTCAGAGGAATGACACAGTGAGTTCAGGAGAGGTGTCAATTGGGAGAGGAGGGACAGAGAGGTCAGGCATCAGAAAGGACAAACTAAACACTGACACTAAATAGGGGCGTTTGCGCTTTTTTGTGGCCACCGTAGTTTCTCCTTGGCGTTTGAAGGGGAGGGTGAAGCGAGGAAGTTGCCATCTGCAACTAGACTGCTAGATGCCACTAAATCCTACACACTAGACCTATAAACTCTTAAATCATACATATTGCACTTCTAATAAAAATGAATAAATAACAAATAGCATCTTTGGTGATGTACCATAGGATAATTTTGTTAAAAAATAAAAGTAGAATAAGCCGTAGACATATATAAAGTAGACTTGAGCAGAGAGAGACAGCTCAGAGAGCCAGACAGCAAAACCACTAGAGTGGTGCTCTAGCGAGAGCATGTGTGTGTATGAGCAAGAGACCTAATTAAAAAAGCCATTTTCTGATAACTTTTTCCTTTACAAAGGTAGTATGTGTAGAAGGAATAGAGGCAAGAAAAAAGCATTACAGATACGGTTAGCAAGTTTTTGAGAGGGACTCCAATTTTGAGAGTTTCCAACATGTGGTGCTTCTGATGCTGCTTTCTCCTGTAATGAGTTATCTGAATCTTCAGGGAGCTGATGAAATGCCATCTTCAGTATGGCTATGAGACACATACACTGTAGTTTTCTCCTGTAATTGTCCTGTCCCGTTGGCCCTCAGGCTGAGGATGATTCAACGCAGGACTTCAACTCTGATTACCTGAGCTGGATTTTAACCTCAACCAGGCGTGGACGCCCGTGTACGCGTGTGTGTACACGCCATCTTGCTCTGCTATCTATCTCGGCAGCAACATGCTTCATTAACCAAACCAATCTGGAGGTAATTAACTGCCCAGGCCAGATAGACACACGCATGGAGACACACATTGAGAGCACTTGTACAGTACACACACGCACACAGGAGCAGGTAAGAGATTGAGGAGGCAGTACTATAGTCTAAAAGGAAGCGAAGGCCAATTCCCTCGGTAGAATTAATGCTCCCTGGTTAATTAAGGAGATCCAGGCTTGTTATAGATAGAGGCGCACACACACACACACACACACACACACACACACAGACACACACAGACACACACACAGACAGACAGACAGACAGACACAGAGACAGAGACAGACACAGACACACACACAGACACACCTTTTTCTTCACATCCAGCCAGTAAGTGGCATGGCAATAAGCATGTGCACTCATGTATGTGTGAGTACTGTAAGCAGAAAGTAACGCACCTTGGTCAAATTGCCGCTGCATGACCTCCATCTCTGCCTTGTTCCCGCTGACCCTGTAGATGCCCTCTGTGCTCAACCCTAGTGGAGAGGGAGAAAAAAAGGAATGTTATTAGCTCAGTGTTCTTTACATGTGTTTTATTTGTAACAGGTATTTACAGTAGCAGGTCAATCACCTCCAAGAACCCTTTGATATAACACTACGTGGGGAATAAATGCACTCTGAAGGGCTGAAAAAGTAGAGCGACTGCAGGCTGCTCTAATGGCCTCTCCCCATGTCCCGTTCCATCTAAACACACTATTAGCACTATTTATTAAACCCATAAAGCACTCCTGCAGGCCTGCTAAGAGCCCACTGGTGCACTGTCACTGGAAGAACTACAGATGCCATGTGCTTTTCATCTCATACACAACTTCATACTACTACTTCATACTTCATACTATTTACTGAGGATTTGCAGCCTTTCTTTAGATAATTGATCATCAAATTGCGTGTCTGTGTCAATGTGTGGCTCTGTTTGGTTGAACACAGAGAAGGTTACAGACAACTTTGGTCCATTTAATAATTCAGATGACAAAAACACTTTACTGGCCACAGTAAAGTATACTGAAGGTGAATACATGGGGTGATTTAACAAGAGCCCTTCATTGTCACTGCAACAATACAAGACAAAAGAGCAGGAATGCAATAGTCAGCCAGTTTCTTCCCTTCTGCTTGAATATGTTTTTTAAATGCCTCACAGCAGGTTCAGTCTAGTGCAATATGATTGAAGAAGCCAATTAAATACTTATTAAAGAGGCCTGTGTGGATTTTATTATCTGTTTACAGCAATAATCTATTCTATTATAATCTAATAATATAATATAGTCGAGAATTTCAAAGTGTTAACAACTACCAAAAATCTCCCACATTTATTTTTCTTAACTCTGGGAGGCCTTCTTAACTCAATCACTGATCATTTTTCTTGAGCTGACAATTAATGACTAACTAAGCTAAGCCTCACATGCTGTATCATCCTGAGGGAAGAAAGCACAATAGCAGTTTCAAAACTACCTGCCCTTCAAATTATTTCAAGTTCAGCAGCAGAAAACACATGATTTTATGTCCACTGCTTTGCAGAGATGCACAAAACATGTCATCAATATCCCAGCGTCAATATCATCACATATATGTAGTCTTAATAAATACCCCATAAATTTAATTCATAGTAATTTTCTATAGCTTTAGTAAATATCACTTTTCTTCTTGTATTCTAGCAACACAACCACGTACTTAGACGCGGAAGACAGTGTCAAAAAGAAACGGCACATGGATAACTGGTGTAAGTAAAAGCGAACTTCATTTTCTTTAATTAATATTTTTTCCAATTTATATAAGATAAGGTCAAAATTCTCTCTCCGTTCACACTTTGGTGGCGACTCGGGGAGACAAAGAGCAATCCAGAGGGAGTGAGGAAGATAGGGAGTGGCAGAAAAAGAGGGCGAGATAGAGAGAGGCAGGGAGGAAATGAGAGAGCTCTCAGTCAAGGCATACAGCATCGATCTCCTCCTTCTACCAATCAATTATCCACAAAAGCTTTTCTAGCCCAGACACTAGGAAAACAGGGATGGGAGGAGAGATAGGGAGTGGGGAGTAGTGTAGCAGTAGTGGGGAGTGAGAGAGGGAGAGAGAGAGAGAGATAGGGGCAAAATAGAACAAGCGCCCAAGTATGAGAAAGATAGTGGGGGGGAGTGTGAGGACGCATAGGAGTTAGGGTCAAACTGATGAAAGAGAGAAAGAGAAAAAAGAAAGGGATTAAGATAAGGAGGGATATATAGAGGGAAAGGAAATGTGTTTGAAACAACAAAACACATAAAAGATGGAGGGGACAGGAGAATGAAAATAACAGAAGAGGAGCCACAAAGCAGTGGATAAAGAAGGCGAATAAAATATTTTTTACAATGAGAGCATCAAAAGGTAAGCTGCCCAAAACAGAAAGCAGCATCCTCTTCCTCTGGGGTCAAACAAAGCACTAGCGCTTGCTGGGGTCAACGTAAATATGAGCACTTCCTGTAGCGAACAAATGTTTTATCTGCATCCTCTAACAGCGTCTAGTTCTTAAGTTTTTCTATGAAGCTATTATCAATCCATACTATTACAGTGAATATGAGGGCACATAAACATTACTTTTATTAGGTGTTTATATCTTCACACAATACACAATCCAAGAAAAGTAGAAACATAAAAAAACAACCATCTATGCTGACGTCATGGCTTCCAACAGCACTCAAGTGGCCAAACACACCTGTGAACCTGCAATCACACGAACTCTGAGAGCATGATAAACGCTCCTGCAGTCAGTGAGACTGTGCTCCTGCAGCATGTTACTGTCTGACAACTCTCCAGCTGATCCCACATCAGCCCAGACCCCAGCGTCTCTCTGGGTTCAGCAGCCCAGAGGCAGATTTTATAGTTGACCATGAAAACAGGCAGTGGCTGGGTGCTGCCCTTTACGTCGCTATGGAGGCTCCTACAGCCAGCAGATATGTCTGCACACGCTAACACACATTCATCACCTCGACACCCGCGAGCAGAACACACTGCAGCTACCACGCTGAGAGAAAGCCAGAGCTGAGGAGAGATAACAGCAGTCACTATGGATTGATTTTTTTGTAGCTGCTTTTCTACAAGAATGCATGAAAATAACACAAAATACCACATCCACTCCTATTATTCTCAAGGACAAAGGGAGTGAGGTATAAAGCACAATTAAGAGAGGCAACAAACACATAACACTTTTGAATAGAAGATAAAAAAACAGAAAGGAGTTTTACTTCAGTCCATCATGTGTATTGCCAAAAATATTCCTCTAAAATGTATAAAACGAGCAAATTTGCTTGTTGTATCCATAAATTCAATATCTTTTAACTAGTGAATAAACAACTTGGCTTTTTCGGGGGCTACAAACATATACATCAGTGTATGAACACAAGACTCAGACTGTGAGAGGATTATCAATGTTATTTAAAAAGATAAGCGTAAAAGGTAGGGACACTGGTATGGGTTTGAGTTAGTTAGTGAGTGAGCATTTTTGTTTAAGAAAGAGGGAAAAGGGAAGGATGTAGGTCAAAGCTGCAGGTCCAGGGTCAGCTTCACAACGTCACTCATTATCAGCTCACACTATAGTGACAAACATAGTGTCAGCGCTGTATGGTAATTTCCTGTGAGTGCCATTATAGCCACTGATGGCAGATGCAGATACAGGATAAGTGAAGTCTGACTTAGAACAACTACAATTGAAACTACATAGCACAATGTAGCTCATTTCCCCTTCCAGTTGCAGTAATTCAGTGTGGGTGTGCCATTCTTTACTGCAGCTGTTAGTATATAAACAAAATATTTCTGTGCACATTATTGTTGGTTCTGACTGTGAGATGTGTGTGGCTACACTTCTCACCCATGCATACGTACACAGACAAATAACACAGGAGCAAGCTAAACACACATAGAAAAGAGCTGAGCCCAAACATTTTCTCCAATTTCCCACCTTGCGATATTGATTGGACAGAGGGTGCTATGGGGCAGAACATTACCTGGCAACTCCCTGGCTAAAACACAACCGAACACACACACACACACACACACACACACACACACACACACACACACACACACACACACACACACACACACACACACACACACACACACACACACACACACACACACACACACACACACACACACCATGCTGACAAGAGGAAGGGGGGAAGCAATGAAGGGAGGGGGGAATAAGAGATGGAAAGGCTAGCAGGAGAAATAAAATGCAGTGAATTGAGAGAAGTGACGAGAGGACAGAGGGAGAAATAGAAATATGGGTTGGGAATAAGATGAAAGAAATCACATCTGACAAGTGAAGGTACAGAGGGAGAAAGACGACTGGATCAGGAGAAAGAAGTAGAGAAACAAGGACAAAGGGGGAGAGCAGGAAACAGAGGATTAAGCAAAATACTAAAGCAGTGAGTGAGGGTAAGAGGTGGAAAACACCTCCAAAAGAAGCTGTGCATTCATCCTCATGTATGCACACATCAGTGTGTATGTATATAAACACATATTCAACCAGTTTTTTCTCCCTCGCCCAGAACTAAGTGCCGTGACTGCTCCAGTTAACATCTGAACAGGGAGAGGTGAAATCTAATGTGATGCCTTGTTGAGCTTTGCCCCTATACTCCTACACAGAGGAAGGCGTGGATGTTTTGTAAGGCTGCAGTAATCCACAAATACAGTCTTTAATCAGGACAGAGATTACAGTGGAATGATTTGGCAACAGACAAACTCGCTTGCTCAAATGCAATTCACTTTATGGAAGGTAATGAAAATTTTAAGCAATGAGTGTATGTTTGTATTCAACATTACTTAGATGTGTATTTAAGTTATTTTTTATGAAGTCGTAAACCACTTAAAACCTGCTACAATGAGTTTTTAACTGGTTATGAAACAGTCTCAATTTAATACTGATGCCTCGATATGAGAGACGTATGCCAAGATCTATACATATGCATCGACCCTGCATTAAGTCGCCTCTGGTTTAGTGTAACAGCTGGTTGCAGACTGAGAGTCAAGCTGGCAGTCCTCGAGCAGTGGGGGCACCAGAACAGCCTGGCAGGGGGTTTGGCATCTGGGCAACAGGGTAGCAAGGTTAAAAGAGGCTATCCAACCACATCTGTGCTCCCAGTACTCCCAGAGAAGAGAGGAGAGTAGAGGAGAGGTATGGGGGGCGGGTGGATGATTGTCGCAACAGGCTGAGAACGTGTTCATTAAACACATTTGTGCACAGACTCTAAGCTCAAGGTTAACCTAAGCAGGTGAGTGTATTTCAGCTGAAATACATAGAGCCTTGCCTTTTCTCATTATCACATTGATCTGAATGAGGCTCTGATGACTCATTGTAAAGTTGTGACTGTAACCACTGCAAGCAGAAGCCAGGATAATCTGCCTTATTTCCATATGAACCCTTGGTAACAATATTTATGAAATATGCATATACAAATCAGAAATCCTGCTTCACCCACGTATGTTATCACACTTCATTTTGCTTTATTTCTATGAGACTATCCAGGTTATCAAAACGTAAGTTAACACACCAACTTGGTTCATGTCCCTGGAGGTGCGCAGTCCACTTATAAAGCCTACAGCTTAGATAAACACTACCCTTTATCAAACAAAGAATAAGGGAGACACAGAAGAAAGTAGCAGTTGCAAGCCTGCACAGACACAAAGGCTGTGATTTGAGAAGTACGTCAGAATCACACTCTTAGTGGTAAAGACCACAGTATGTAACAATCCCACCAGGGAAGAGGATTAAGATAAGGAAAAAATGCAGAGAGATCAAAGGAGGGAGGTATAGCATAGCACAGGCAGAATGGATCCTTTGAAATCATTTTAGAAAAGTTAATACTTAAATCACTGAAAACAACAGCTCGTGCTGCTCCCTTTAGGACGGCATTAAGCATCTGTACTCCTTATTATATAAATTAAACAGATTCTTACCAGTTGTTTCAATGAAACGGATGCACTTCTCAATGAAGACTGGGATTGGCCTCTCAAGAGTGACCACAGTTGCCAGTGGCATACCAAAGTAGTTGCTTTCGATGGGTTTGGAAATTGAATGCCTGGGTTTGGGTCGTGGTTTCTGGAAGAAAAAAAAGAAATTGTGAAGAAACACCAGATTGGTGGGAGCACATTTTTTATATTGAAAAAAAATCAGTATTATTAGACTGACATTGACACTGCTGACATAGAACAACATTTCCAAAGTGACCCTGAGCCTACAGGCACTGTTCTTGAAATGACTTGATACATATGGAAAAGACCATGACCTTATTTTAAAGTGTTTTTATGTTAGTATCTACTTCAGCAAAAAGACAAACATGCACACCCATCCCGCACATTCCTTCAAACCTTACACTGATAAGTAATCACACATTCCTGTCTAGAACCTTGTTCTGTACAAAGTGAGATATACATCAGTTCCTTCATCACTCTGGTCTCTTCATCCTTGCCCTCGTTCCTTTGGCATTCTGCGTTTCTCTTTCTCTCTCTACTGCACTGCAGCCCTCAAATAATCAAACTCTCTTATTCATTGTTGTTTAATTACTTTCTAACTCCTGTTATTCTCCTGTTAAGAGCCTTCTAATACACTCCTGCAACATTCTCTGCCTGCCTCCATATGGCTGAGGCATCAGCAGAAATTGTACTGCACTTTAATGGTGTTGAGTGGGAATGTTTTGAAGGCCCCTGAGGCCTGGATCTCTAGTAAGTCTATCAGCCCCCTGAGGCTCTGCCCTGGCAGGCAGGGTGGTGAGGCAGGGGTGCATGGTTGGTTTGGCACATATAGACTGTGGGAGCAGTGCAGGCCTGACAGACAGACACAGGGAAGGAGCAGAGAAGTGCTCATTAGAGAGAAGGAGCCCGGCGCGCCCTCTGCTCCAGATACTGGCCTCGCTGCACTCCACCAAACATTTTCGATACCACATATATACACACACTCACTCACAGCGGTAGGCTGAAACACTAATTAAGACTGAGCAGATCAACAAAGGCTCACCTGGACTTTTTCATTATTTCCTGTTGTTTGCACATTTGGTTTATTTATTCTGTTGTTAATCTGTTTTATCTTTGGTTCAGTGGTGCCAAGTTAACATCTTTGATTAGGCTTCCACCTAAAAGAGCCTGGCCAATACATCTGCAGGCCAATATTATTTGCCGATATGTGGTGGATGAATAATTATCGGTGAGTGTGCTGGGAGAAACCTAAAAGAGATGGAATAGTAAACTGCAGCATCCTATGTATATTTAATTCAGATTTCTTTTCTCTTCTTTTTATAGTTTATTTTAATGTGGCTTTTCTTTGTAGTTAAATTTCAAAAGAACTTCTTTTTCACAAAATGTTTATGTAAAAGAAAAAGAAGAAAAAAGACATTACTTGTCATATTGTTATCAAGTATTGATATTGGTTTTGTCCGCAAAGATCCAGTATCATTCAGGCTCTTCTATCTAGGGTGCTTTTTATAATAAACTGTAGAAAAAGGGCACTGTCGCTACTTCATCCGTCAGCTGTGTGCTCATGTGTCAGGAAAATAAAATGTCAAAGACAACTCGGCAACCCTGACTGGCTTACTGGAAGAGTGTGCAATTCATTCAGCAAGGCCGCCCCCCGAGATGCTGATGATGGGTCTGTACTGAAACACATCTAGGTTAAACTATTTCAGACTTTTTTCCAACAAGTCAGTAACTGTTGCCGGCCGAGTTATCTCTCTGTTATAAGCCCCACACAAGCGGATTCCTAACTGGAATTCCCCCACTTCACACCCACCTACCTCCCACGCTGCCCTGTCGGATCCCTCTGTGACACTCAACACACAGGCATCTTTATACTTGTGGTTGTGTCGAATATAGATGTGAAGTGTGCTCACATGTGCACGAAACACCCCCACAAGGCTTTAATTGAATTTAAAGGGTAGTGATAATAGACGTGACGCTACAAGACAACGGCCTCTGTGAGCACAGAGCTGTGCTGTCATAACTCACTGCCAGCTTGGTTTTGTAGCTCCAAGTAGCAGCTCATAATTTATTTGTGTCCTATCACATTGACTGTGTTGTATATCTGTGCCCTATCTCAGTTTAGCAGACTGTCTCTATGCTTTCCACCACCACCCCTCCTCCTCCACCCACTGTCTTCTCCCCCTGCAGTTTTGCCTTCTGGCCACTCCTTTTAGTTGCTGACTGAGACAGGATATGTTGCCAGCGCTGAGAAGACAAAACAGACCTCTACCACAAAAGACAAACAAAACACATCCTTAATAATAACATACAGACATCATGGTGAGCGTTTACATACACAGCACGCTGAAACACAAAGCCGCAATATGGAAGAAAAAAAAAGACCTTTCAGTTCTATCATAACTTATTTCTCTCTGGCTGTGTTTAATTGTTGTTCTGTGGTTGTGTTTTCTCCTTTCCTTTGATTGCCTCCTTCCTTCTTATTCCTTGTATGAGGACACTAGACTGGAACTAGGTGACTGAGGAATTTGAAGCATTCCTCTTGCTGGCTGAGGAGGTTTTGAAAAAAGCTGCAGGAGAGAGAGGAAACGTTTCCGGCCCCTCGCTGAGGGAGGGCAGGCGGGACAGAGACACAGTTGGTCATTGCCTGAGGTAAAGTGGGTTTTAAAATGGGCTCAGAGTCTAGTTTCAATTATTCGTTCCATACCCGTTATGACTCTGAGTGGTACAGTACCCTAAGGCTCTGACCAGGAAAGTGTTTACACTGCAGAAACTCAAACCTTCAGCCTAAAACCTACTGAAAATCTGGCTTTGTGTTAACCCTGACAAGTCACTAACAGGAACGGCTGGTTTTATACCAACCCCGAGTCACTGCTATACAATAGATCTCCTTGAGATGACTAAATAACTCAATAACATGTCAGTTATCCGGAGGGGATTTCAGGTTGCACCAGACTGAAAATGGACTCTTATCTTTGAGACAGCTGCTTAGAAAACAGGTGATGGAACTTGATCACTTCGTTACAACCACAATTAAGCCATAATGGCTTGTAATGCAAGCATCCAGATCCCAGACCTGCTGTGGGGCACAAATCAGAGGCACTGATTAGACTAATGATGACGACACTGATCTAAATTCAGCTGGTTTCAATTTTCTTGATTTCTTTTTTTTTATAATGTGTAGGTTTATAATGTGTAATGTGATACTTTATTGATCCCCCTTCCCTCTTGCCCCCCTGCGAGGGCAGGATCGGAGCACAGGGTCGGGTAAAAGTCAAAGCTACTGGAGTTGTATGGTTGCTAACATGGGGCTTGAACTGGGCTGTCCTTACACCGTTTTTCAGAAAGACAAATACCTTTGAATACAATATGAGCTAAGTCAGTTAGTGCACAAAGGAATTAATTTAGTTTTGGCAGTTAGGAGCTATGTGAGAGGACAGCTTTCACACAGGTACTTGGACATCACAGTGTGTGAAAACATTAATCATACCCCTCCTGTTCCACGCTACTGACAGGCATGGTAATTATCACAGACACACAAGCACAACATAAGCAGCTGTAACTCCTATTCAGCTGGCACTTTTGTACCAAGCCATGAGTGTGAATGAACAGCATACCAAGCTGATAAGCCTAACAGAGTAAGGTCAAAACTATCACCACAACACGTGTGAGAGACAAGCACAGAAATGAACAGGAGAGGAGTAGACAGAGGTTATGGAAACAAGTGAAGGAGGAGAGTGTGTGTGTGCAAAAAAGCATAAAAAATAGAAAGGAAAGAGAGATATGAGGAGAACATAATTGGGAGTGAGAGAGAAAGAGTGTGACAGGAATGTGAGAAGCAGAAAGCATGAATAAGCAAGAAGCGAAGACAAACACTGTGAATATGAAAGAATGAACGTAAGGAAGCAAAGAAAAACCAAACTGACTGAAGAATTGGAGTCTTATGAACAAGTTGCCCAGTGTTGGCACATACTTCACTGCAGTACCACAACAGTGAACAGTAAACAACTCTGCAGTTACTACACGATGTCAATCACTAGATCACTTATGTCACATGCAGTGCACGATTTGGCAACTAAGATTTAAACAATGTGTAGCCATACGACAAGTGAGACTGAAAGCAAGTTGATTGCACAATCAGCATGTAAATTGTAAGAGCGGCGGTTTTATTTTTGGAGTGTTTAGATTTTTTTTGTTGCTTGTTAGTACTATCTGTTCCTGAACAGCAGGAATGTTTACAGCTAATTTGCTGAGATATAACATTAGTTTTATTTCTCTTCATGTACCGCTATAGCAAGAATAGTTGCCTTTAAAATCTTGGTTAATGAATGTCAAACATTATTATGACGGCTCTCATATAATAGGAAACCTGATGCAACCTAGCAAACACACACATGCGCACAAACAGATAAAGTAGCACTGTGTATACCGTTGCTCTGTCCCTACTCATTAAGAGTTTCAGCCTTTTGGTATAGAAGTTCAGTGACTGGAGTATGTCTCTTTTTCCTCTGATGATCTGGCTAGTTTAGCAGGCTTTCACCGAGCGGTCACGAAAAAACATTTCAGACATGCTTTCAGAGGAACTCCTACAGTATGTCATGCTTTCACTGAGCTAAGCTGCAGAGAGTAGAGTGATTATATTGAACTCATTAGTTACTCCTCAACTTTAGTAATAAACAAATAATAAACAGTTATCCACCAAAGCAAACAGGTGTTGAATCTCAGCCAAGAACTAATTATACAGAGGATTTCATCCATTCCGTCCATAAACAAATACATATGCATACGTACTGCTAAAAAAGTGGTGTATTTAAGTGTTTTGCTTGAAAAATACATTTCCACTTTCCCTGTCAAAATACTTATAAGGTCATGGTCATTTTCACTTAGGAGGTTATTTTAAGTTGTATTTGAGAAAATGCTCAATCTTCAGTAAGTAATTTACTTGGGCTGTGGGTGTGTTTTAGAAAAACACTGGTTAACTGCAGTATTTGGGAATAGTTACATCAACAAATTAAATTCAGATGTTCACTTTTTAAATGTAACACTTTTTGTCACTTAACATAGTTGAGACATATTTGTATATTTAACCCATATGTCACTCATATTTAACTAAAACAGATGGTTGCACAAACACTAACCTTTGTATTTCTGCGCAGGCTCTTAAGAATATTTCTTCTTTTGGGGTCCTCACTTTCCTCGATGGAGCTGTCCTTTTGGGCTCCCCCCTCTTCCTGGCTAGCCTTGGGTGGACCCCCCATCTCATCATCACTGCCAATAGAGAAGCTTGTCCTAAAACTGCTGAACTTGCCAAGCCTTTTGGATCTGTCTCTGTACAGCTTAGGCTTTACCCCAATGGCAGACAACTTTCTCCTGCGCTCCAGTGAGCTGCTATCAGCCTCACTGTCCGATCCATTCCCCCCAGCACTCCCGTTGGAGTGACCTTTGTTGGCGTTGCGGATGGTGATAATCTTGCCCTGTGTGCTGTCATGGGGGACCGAGTAAATATTCTCCTCTTCTGTGGGTCGAGGTTTGCTCACAGCATCCATAGGCTCTGCGTAGTCTGAGGGGTCATAGCCACCATCGCTACCTGGTGCCCAGGTGACAGCTTGGGGCAAAGAGCGGCGGTTGGTGCCACCCTGCTGGTCCATGTAGGGGCCTAGGTTAACTTTACGGACAGGCTTGGGCTTCACTTGTGGAGGAACCTTGTTATTCAGCTTGCTCTCAAAGGTGCTAAGCTCGGAAATGACAGAGAAGGTGTCACTTGAATCTAGATCTGGCAGCTTGAAGCTTCCCAGGTGGGAACTGAGACTGCCATCCTCCCTCAGGGTAGGGTAAGGTGGTGATGGGTCGATATCGTCCTCTGAGTCCATAAGAGTGTTAACTGGACTAGGGGAGCCACAGCGAGGGCTGATGCTCTCATTGGTACATGCCTCAGCCACATTATCATACATGTGTGTGGCCTCCACAATAGTGCGCTTCTCTACCACCTCTTTGAGGAAGGGTTGGAAAAGGTCTATCTTATGAAGCCCCCCAACGACCCCACCATGTCCACATATTACTGTGTTAAATCTAGCCTCTATTTCATGGGCCAGTTCCTCTCCCTGACTGACCTGCTCCTTAGCTGACTCAGAATCTGAGAGCTCCATCTGACTCTCCCCTACTGCTAACAACTGGACTGGGATGATGTCTTGGACCTCACACAGGAAAGCACATAATGTCTCCATAGAGGCCTTGCGGCGAGCAGAGTAGACTGCAATGTAGCCATGGACCAGCCTGGTCTTGCGAAGAGAGAATGAGGAATGGAAGGAGAGCAGTGACAGCTCAATATTCTGCCTCTGACCTCCTATACTGAAATCCAGCAAAACGGAGGTACCACTGCTGAGGCTGGAGGCAGGACGACAATGCTGGGGTAACAAGAAGGGAGCAAGGAGTTGGTCTAGGTCGTATGTGTCTCCACACATCAGGCACATGACTATCCTCAGGTCTGCCTCTAGCATTGGCTGGGACTGAGAGTCTCTGAAGGCAGACGATGGAGGGGGTAAGGGAGGGGAACTACTCCCTATGCTTCTCCGTGATTCTAAGAGGCCCTTCAGCATCTGGTTGATCTGCTTCTCATTGACATTGCGTCCATAGCCCATGCCTGGAGAGGCAGGGTCTAGGTAAGCACACTGTAGCTTTCCAGCCACATGCTGCCCTTGTTGGATAAGAGTCTGAGCTGTCTCCCCCCCAATGTCCCCTATGGACCCCACCCCCCGCTTGGTGACCAGAAGGAGGGACAGCGGGAGTTGGGCTAAGCTGTTTTCCCTTTCCCTTCTGCTTATAGTTGACTCCCTAAGCTTTTCTAAACTCTCAACAACATACGAGAGGGATTCCTTGGAGTTGTACAAACACAGACAACCATGGGGTGTAAAGGTTGGTGTGTGGAAGGAATTGACTGGCAGACGTACGTTGCCCTCTATGGGACGAAGGGCTAACTCATACATCTTTCCATCTAGCACGTACCGGTCGTCACTGGTGCACAAGGCCCGTATCTCATTTGCCATCTCTCTGGCTAGCCCATCTTTCCCGAGGATGACAAGATTTATCCGTTCAGCCCTCCCCCCATCCAGTCTTGAACTGTCTGATGATGGGTAGCGGGTAGGGAATTTGGAGGCCAGTATCTGCTCTATCTTACTGTCTACACAGTGGGGGCTGTTGGGGCAGGTGTCCTTTGTAGGGTGGTAGACAAAGTGGATATGTTTCAATACCAGAGCATCCCTTTCTGCCTGCAACTTCTGGAGGGCTTTAAACCTTTGCTCCTCACCCAACACTTCCTGAATGGCTCCCATTTTCTCTTTACTTGGCTTTGCATCCACTTCAAGTTCATAGAAGAGCTCAGAGTATTCAAGAAGCAGTTCCTGAAAGTCCTCTTTGGCTCGGTCAATGATTTCCTTCTGGTGTTTGTTGTAGATATCCAGATATTCAGCCTCATCCAGCCATTGGTAGAAGTCCTCATTCATGATGAAGCTTCGGGCCTCCTCCCAGGGTTTCCCTGGTGTGATAAAAGGAGAGACACTTAGCTTCTCCTTGAACTCCCATCGCATCTCAGCCCGTTTGCGCTCATTCCTTAGCTGCTCCAAGTGGGTCTCATAGATAGTTTCAGCTGCGGGGGTCTCCAGGAGGTCCTGGGGGATTCGATCATCCTCCATGTTATCAATGTGTGATGTGGTCTCCCAAGGGGTGTCATCTAGCACTACAAACCATTGTGAGAAATCTCTCTTTGTCTCCAGGACTTTCTGAACTCCAGACCAGCTTAGGTGGTCTATTTCGTCCAACTCTGGTAACAGTATAGACAAGGCCTGTGGTAGTGTACTAAGATAGGCCTTCCTACGTTTCTCTATATGGTCTTGTTTAAGTCTATGCACATGCTGCTGAAAGAGCTTCTTGGCTTTAGCTGTCCCCTCAAGGAAAACATAGTCCTTGTACTCAGGGGCAGACTGCATGCGGCGACTGACATTGGGCCATGTCTCATTGTGGTTCTTCACAATTCGGTTGACCAGCCACTCATAGTGGTCTTTGGCTGAGGCAATCTGTTGACTCTGCTGTTTCAGTGCCTCGAAGTAAGGGATAATTTTGGGCTTACCCCTACCCTTGTCTATTAGCTGAACCAGTGTAAGAAAGGCTAGGTCAACATTGACATTTGAGCGTGCTGATGTTTCTACCACCTGTAGGTTCTTCTTGGCTAGGGCAAAGGTGTGTGAGTCTTTAATATAGCGCTCAACTCCTTCATCACATTTGGTGAGAACCAGTACCACAGGTTTCTTTGTTTTGGCTAGCTGGTTGTACAGGTTGGTAACAAACTTCATCTGGTCCTCAAAGCTACGGTTCATACCCCTGCTAACATCCACACAGAGTAAGAAGCCATCCACCATAAGTTTGCCTTCTGGCATCTGTTTCTGCTCAAAGTCCTGCTCCAGTCCCAGCTGATCTGTGCAAAAGTACATCAGCTTCTCAGCCGAAGCCAGCTTGTTGGAAGCTGCCCTCTTGATGTAAGGCTGGAGTGCCGTACTTCGGTGTGGCTGGAATGTCTGATCATCAATGAACTCTGTCTGCTCAACAACATTCATACGGCATTCTGGCCCTTCCTCCATCGTCCGCCCAGCCTCTCCCCAGAACAAGAAGTGGTCATTGTTCACCACACGGCCTCCAAAGTCACTGGTACTGAGAACAGAGGTGTGGTCTAGGTAGAAGTCATCTGCACTTGGCCGGACGAAGCGGTTACACAGGCAGGACTTGCCCACACCACACTGGCCTTTCTCCTTCTCCGTGCCGGACAGCCCAACCACGACCAGGTTGTAGGTGGGTGACCGGACATCTTGCTTTTTGGCCATCATCATCGCTGGCAGAGGCTCATCCTGCCATGCTGGCTGATAGCTCTAGGGAGAGGAGAAGGCTTCCAAGGAAGGATGGTTTCCATGCAAGGGGAGCTCACTGGGCTGGGGTCTGGCCCTGCATGATAGAGAGAGAGAAAGAAAATGCAGAGATATAATTAATCTAGAGAAATACAGAAAAAAAAAACATTCCAGTGACAGGCTTTATTATTAGAGAGCTATTGTGTCTCTCATCTAAATTCCTACTGTGTGCCTATGTGCTGTTAATATTGTTTAATCTGAGATCCTATTTCTCCACTGAATGTTTCCTGAAAAGATTGAGGTCAGTGGCAAAGCTGCTGGAATGCTGCACCTTACTTAACCCAGATGTAGCTCAGTAAAAGGCAATTTTTCCCATTTAAAACATTTAATTTTTATACAGCCAGGAATGCACTGCTAACAGTGGTGCCTTCCACAATTCATTCCTATCTTCGTTAAGACTCGATATGTGTTTTGGCTTATTATCTGACATCTAACAGTATGGTTGGTAGTCTCACTGCCAGCAGCAGTAGAATAGAGTTAATGTGGGGTTTTTACTATCGCAGAAAAGAGACACATGAATGTGCACACAAACACATGCACTACCACACACTTGTAAAAACAAGCTCACTAAGCTCCCTGCACCCCAACTGAAAGACACACACAAGAAGATGAAAGCAGATAAGTGTTCCAGAGCTAAAGTTACTAATTGGCCAACTAGGGAAAGCCATCTGCATTTTAAAAGGCTGCACTGCCTGTTGGCTGACTTGTCTCCATCAAAAACATGTTTCCCTATGTTATTCACCAAACAGCACTCTGCAAACAGATCAGAGTTGGCTGATGTACCATCACTAATGTCTCAACATATTTACCTACAGCAACAAATTGGTGTGGTGCTGTCAAGAAATAGCACATGCACCTAGGAACATACATAGAGGCTTACTTGGCTGGACAATCTCTGTATAATTTATTCCATCAGTAGTCAGACAAAAATAACGGGAGAGAGAGAAAGAGAGAGAGAGAGGATGAGGGATTGGGGATGCTCTTTATGGAATAGCCCTTTTTGACAGCACAATTTGTAAGGAACAAAAATCTTTCTAGACAGCGAGCACACAGACTTGCAGTATAAGACCACCCCCTCCTTGTCATAACTGAGGCGTTAATGTAGTAAAACAGACATTAAAACCACTATTAATCATGAATAGCTCTTTTGACAGAGAGCACAAAAGCCGACAAAGCCTTCATTGCTGCTGAATTGAGTTTGTCAGACAACAGAGAACTGGGGATGCGCAAAGATGAACTTCAAAGTCCAACACTGCACTACACCAGGGGTAGACAATGAAAAGGAAGCGGTAGGAGGAGTAAAAAACTCACTACAGTGAAACACACTGTAGATAAAAAGCAAGCTCACACCTGCCATGTATTAACTACAGCACATACTGTATATTTCTGAGTTTTATTTGGAAAGCTGAGTACCACTAAGCGAAGTTCAAAGCTGACAGTTACGTCAAAGCTTTGAAACCCTTAGTTTCACTAAAGCAAATTCCAATCAGGCTGTGAATTAACATTACAGAGGCAAGACCACCCCAGTGCTTCAGCAGGTGTATAACCAAGTGCCAGCCGAAGGAAAATGAATCAGTATCAAAAACAATGTCTTGTGTTTTAATATTTGTAGAGGAAACATTAATGAAAAATGTATCAAGGCACCAAGAAATAGACTCAGTCCATGTAAAATTAAGGCGTGGTGTGTGTTGTGCTCAGCCAGACTTGCTGGTCGATACACTCGTATAGGTATGTGGCCTGGGAATTATGGTTAATTCATGTTCTTCTCTACTCTTTCTGGGCCCTTTGTAAGTATTACTGCATACTAGGGCTGTACAATATAGTAAAAAAAAAAAATCATATTGTTTAGATTTTGCAATATGATTCATTATATTACTAACATGCTATTTTTTGATTGTTCTTATCGTGGTTGTGATGATCATCTTTCATTTGCACTGAAAAAATATTTTTATACTATAAAAATGATTAAAATCATGACGATGTGACATTTGTTGGGGTCTGTTTTCTGACATCTGGAGAACAAGATTTGTAGGCCTGGGCATCCCTGAAGCACTACAGTACTTCATTATAATGCTGTTTTGTCGCACATTTTACCTTTGCAAGAAATTGCAGCTTCTTGTGATGTGTGTGTGTGTGTGTGTGTGTGTGTGTGTGTGTGTGTGTGTGTGTGTGTGTGTGTGTGTTTGTACACCAGTTTATAATAAGATTTATATTGTCTACACCCACATCTGTATTAAGTTTGAAAACAGTGCAGTATATGCAGCCTTGACTAGATGAGAAGAGCTGCAGGTGGGGAATCTATAGAGCAAGAACCGGGAGGTTAAAAGTGCACCTGTGCCCTGACCCAATCATGTTCATATTACAAAGCAGACAGCCTCGACTACAATCAGCCACTAAAAACATGACCTGTTGGCCCTTGATGTGGTCCACTTACTAAACAGAACATGTATCCAGCCTGCTAATCATCATATTTAACTACATGGCTCCCTCCTGCGCTACCCAGTGACCAGAGACATTAAAATTCACCAATAAATACGTATAGAGGAGTCAAGACAGTTCCTTAGTAATAGCTATAATTTTAATTTTGTGTTATTACAATTGTGTGGGGCAAATTCCCGTTACTGTATTGTAAATTGCTTCCTTTTGGAGGTCAACCAAAAGGGATTTCAGGTAGGTTTGTGAGCTTTGCTATTGCAAAGGTTGATGTGAGCTGCATCTCTGCACAGAGTGAACTGTTGTGACATGCTTCAAGTAGCTGCCTACTGAGCTGACAGAGGGTGTTACATACAGATAAGTATGGAAGCCCTGGCGTACACCCACGTTAGCACAAATGACCTATATGAGCGCACACACACACACACACACACACACACACACACACACACACACACACACTCTCTATTAAATTCTTCTACTTAGCGATGATGCCAAGACTCCTTTCCACTATTGCCTTCCTCTCTCCACCCATCCCTTCTTTCCCCTGTGATTGGCACTGTTGCTCCTCACTACCTCATATCCCAGGGTTCTCGTATGAGCCCACTGGCCAATCAGGTTAGCTGATACGGTACACACACACACACACACACACACACACACACACACACACACACACACACACACACACACACACACACACACACACACACACACACACACACACACACACACACACACACACACACACACACACACACGTATCCTGGTGATCATCATGTCATGTGTGAAATAGGTCATGAGTGTGTGACCAGTTGTGAGAGTGTCTGGATTAAATAAAGTCAAGCACTCCTAAAGTCCCTATGGACCTGGAGGAAAGCCAGGCTCAATGCTCTCACAGATGCTAACATCTGCTTCACTGACCCCACCTATCTATTTCTGAGAATGTTCCTTTGCGTGCACAATGTATGAGAATCTACAAGTTCATACACATTTTTTGACAGACAACTCATACTCACTGCAGTAGAGTGCAGGTTAGGTATGTGCGTGTGACAAAGAGCTGTGGCCTTTTTGCAATAACCTAAAAAGGAGGGCAAACAAAGGAGACCTAATGCCATTTTCTTTTCTTTTTTTCTGTACTGTCCAAGTGACATGTCAGTGCAAGCAGCAAACAGACCATTCAGAATTCATTCTTAAGTGACATGAGGATGTAATGGTTTAGAATATAGCAGAATCTTATAATAGAAGCAAACAAAATGCCTCATGAGACTGACTGCCATGCCCAAGCCAAACTGACAGAATCATGGAATATATATGACACTACAACTGCAAAATTCAGCTCGTTTCAACAGCCTGTCTACTGGCGGTCTAAGTGCAGCATTTCATACACAATAGATCCAGTCATTTAGGGAATACATTTCCTCTTTTCGCAGACCTATAAAGACACCACTGCCTTAGCTCAACTAGCCTTAGAGGGGCAGTCCAGTTGTAGAGCAGTCAGGCAGCCAGTCTCCCAGTTCACCCTGAGGCCTTGTGTCTGGTGCGCATGTCCAACCACATACCACTGTCTCGAGGCCTAGGGCTGTTTAGGGCTGAGGCAGAGATGGGTTAGGGCCTGCGTTGCATCTGCCTCTGACCCTGAAACATGAGGGTAAGCAGAAAAGGAGAGGGAGAGCGAGTAGGAGGAGGTGGAAGAGATGCAGGAAGGAGTGCAAGCCATTGGGGGAGGAGACAGTGGGTGAAAGGTCTGTGCACACGGAGAGGATGGGGGTATAGAAAAGAATGGATATGAGGGGAATGGGAGAGAGGTCAGTGGCCTGGGTCATGTGAGCCACACATTGGAATCCCCTAAGGGGAGAGGGGCTGGGGCGTGGTGAGGTCTGGATGAGTAGCTGAGGGTCAGGGTCCTACCCGTTACATCACTCTCCCCCTGCCTAATCACAAACAGCATTACAAGAAGGACATACCCAAATACCACATCTCAATTTCCCTGTTGCTTTTTCCCCATTCCTTTCTATTACAATGCATTAACCAATCTAACAGTCTAAACACAACCTTGCCTTGACTGAACCAGCACCTTTCTAGGTCACTGACTGTCTCAAGGACAAGAGAAGCCAAGGAAGATAGGATGCATCTGTAGGGTACTGGAGTGCAGCCTGAAGCTAATGCTAGGGCGGCAGGGCGTGAAGTTCATCATAACACGTGCTACAAAGGGCAGCAGGGAAGAGGCTGTGTTCACTGCCCATGAGGAGAGACCATGTAGCCTTCACGGGGTGGCTGCATTCCTTTCATTATAGAGCAAAGAAGGGGAGTAAGCTAGGGAGTATCACTGAGGAGTTTCAATCATTGTCAGTCAGGCCTGTTTTGATACACCAAAAGATCCGTATCGCTTTTAAATGTTAGCCTAAACGGAGAGTGCACATGGGCTGAATGAGATAACCACGCGTGTAAGCAGGACCAGAGAAAAACCCGAGTCAAGAAAAGTTGTTCTGTGGAAGCAGAACATTGAAGTTTCAGAGTTAAGCATTTAATAGGAATACTCTATGCTGATAGATCTTTCTAATTTAAAACAAATAAGGGACTAATATAATCCCAAAATATGTG